GCTGGATGAAGCATTTCCACCAACCAAAACACTGACACGACAATGTAATGTGCAACTGATTGCAGACAAACAAACTACCATCAGAACAGCCAACTTTCTAACTAGCACCAAACTGTGGAATATGAGAAGCCAGAAAGAATAACAACTGAGACCTCTGGATAAAAGATTCAAATGCAAAAATACTCTGGAAAATGCAAAAATGTATGTTAAGCTATCAGTATTTCAACGTGGATTTGAAAGAGCAGTAATGTGAAACCTGTCTATTACATTGCAGGATTATTATCCAGGAGGTTTTGGTTTTGTTTTATGTTGTTTGCAAGTATTTCAAACCATGAAGTCTTCTCACATGCTCTGGCAAGAACTGAACTAATAAATAAGACTTGAGAGCTTCTGACCAAAGACCAGCTACAAAACTGGCCATGCATTCAGAGTCTATTAGAGCCTGTAGATCACCTTCTGCCCTCCAAACTCAATGACTTAGTGCAATAACTAAGGTGAACCTGTTTTGCTAATGGTATACACACATGGAAGAACGGGAAGTTTTGCTAAAAGAGGAATAGATGTCTGCTTGACAAACCATTAATATGAATAAGTACTCCTAGTGTTACATTACATGGGATCAACCAGAGATCTCAAATGCTGGGATCTTTTAAAAAGCACCCTTAATCCAGGCGAAGCTGACACACAGCTCGCCTTGAAATCTTTATGTAAGCAGGCAAATAACCTAGCAAAAATTTGACAGTTTAGCTGGAAAAGAAGTATCTTCTGTCAAGAATGTGGGCAGCACTAGGGAAACAAAAAGCATACCTGCCATTACAGCTATGAAAGTGGCTCTTACATGTAGCTGTTTTCACTATGCAGAAGCAGACCTGGTGGTGTCACAATTACTTGGACTGACTTTGACAGATCTTCTCTCAACTGCAGTTGTACAAAAGTAACTGGAAGGGCAGCAGCTCCAACTTCAAAACCTCCAACCATGAGGAGGTTGGGGACCTCAGATGAGAGAGGGTTTCCTAATGCTGTCCTGAGAGCAAAATAAGGGGTTCCAAACTCAAAATTATTCTTGAACCTCAGTTCTCAGATATGACCACCTACAGTACAAAGCAGAAGAGTAAAAACCTAGGAATCACTAACCTGTACTTTAGATTAACCTCTCAAAACCAGACTAAGAATCCCACTCTTCTCTTCATTTCTCCTCCAGGTCGAAAGAATGAGACTGATCTTAAAAAAGAATCTTCCTAAAGACAGTTCCTTAACAGTTACAAGTAATAAAGCAGAGACAAAACACAACATTTATATTCAAGGAAAAAGATTGAAAAAATAAAATTCACAGGTCAGTAGTATTACTTTCTTCATCTACAACCAGTAACATGTTTCAGAGAGGTAACAGGAACACCCCTTCCCTGCCATCCCAACTCTCCCTTAAAACACTAAAAATACAGTATTTTAGCTCATGGCGGGTAAGGAACATATCTGTTGTTTTTCATCTTCAATCATGTCTGGCTCAAGACTCAAAGCGTGAACACTTTCATACACATATATAACATCCTCTTGTATACATACACATGCTTTCAGGTACAGGTATCTAGGTATGTGCATGGGTGGTAATACTCGCACAATAATATTCCTGTAAACCTAAAGTATGCTACAATTCTTATGAAGAAATCCATACAAGAACGAATATGAGCAGCATTTCACTCCCACCACATGTATGACATATGCAAGAAATAAGCACAAATGTTATTGCCTATGTTATTACCCCTTCGGGGTACCAAATCCCCATCCCCCAGGCAAACAGAATACCCAAGATTGAATAAGGGCAGGAGTATGGTTAATGTGCCGGTCAACAGAATACCACTGTGTTGTAAGTCATTAAGCCCCAAAATTTCAGGAAAAGAATAATTAAAAAGGCAATCATATCCTTAGAGCAGCACATTTCTGTACCAGCTCTTAATCAATGAGTATCAAAGTGGTAGCACTTCTTAAAAACATGGGCATCTACTTGTTTCTGACAATCTGTAGTGGTAAATCGTAACTACTGTAAGGTAGAAAGGATTTACATATTGTACAAAATACTTTAATCTGAAAGTTCTCATTCAAAAACTGTCAGCTCCCATTCAAGTATCCTGGCTCCAGAATCAAGACAGAAGAATACGCACTGACTTTTCTCAGTGTCACTGTTTTCTGCAAATACAAAAAAATTTTCTTAAAGTACAAATACCCAGGAAAGCTATGAAACTGCTTCCTTGGTCTTACATTATTGCTTCTGATACTATTAAAAGAAAATATTATTTGTGTGCCTGAAAAGGTTCTCCCCAAACAGTCAAGAGTTTATTTCCAAAGTACCAGATGTCATACTATTGGAAAACTTCTATTAAGGACTACTAAGATTTTTATCACAGCTTTGTTACATATATTCTATTATGAATACTCTAGTAGAAACAGAAGAACTTCTCTGCTGTCAAAGAATCAACATATAACTAAGTTGCTTCCCTCTGCCCTCAAGGAGGGAAAAAAATGGTATTATTTTCCCTAAGAGAATGCTCAAGATGTAATGGGCAAGAGAAAGAAATATGTGGTGGAAATGGTTTAATAAATCCCAGCAGAAACAAAGCATCTTTTCACATACTTAAAAGTCTGCAAGGCTCCATGCTGACATTTGATGAATGGATGGAATAAAATGTGTGGAACCTCCTATGCCTTCTACTGATGGCACAAAGTCCTGGCTGGCACAGATGCTAGCTGAGTATTACATTTAAAAACATCTCCCTTCAAGTGCTACTGTATTTGTGTACTATGAGGATCTAAAATATTTTGGAATGCAGTTTATTTGAAGGTAAACATATTAGCAGGATTTAAAACCAAAACAAAGCTTTTAAGATACCATGATTACTTGTAAATGCAGAAAAGAAGATAGCAGGAGTAAAGGAATAGGTTACATCTGGGAAGCAGCAAGACAATTCATTTTACTGACTAGAGCCTAGCATGATCCCAGTTCATTTCACCATGAGCTAGTTTTTATGACAGCAACTGATTACTCAAGAGACTTTGTATAAGTTAACAAAAGCGGTAAGCAAGTTCCCTTCACCTTGGGAGCTTTCCTTGATTTTACAAAAGGATAAAGGAAACAAAAAATCCACTCTTCCACTACTACTCCTTCTCTCAAAAATACAAGAAAACTGATAGAATGGTACTTATTCCTCCCTCCTCAAAGCGATACAACAAAACTTCTGAATGCTTGTATTCAAAAAGTGTCTTTCTAGAATGATCTTTAACATCTCTGGTTGATGACTACTGACCTAGGGACACAGCTCCACAAGTACTGGACTAGACACTCAACCAGTCAAAGTATGTTCTCCGTTTAAAAAAAAGACTACATTACATTATTTTGACCTCACCAAATATTAGTACCACTTCTCAAGTTATCATATCAGAAAATCAGAGCATAAAACCTAAGTTTAAATAGAAACACTTTCTGAAAATATATTCATGCAAAACCAAAACCTTACATGAAGCTTTTGTTACAAGACCTGTGGTTTATGTTAGAGCAAATGTTGATGACCAACATGATATGAATTTTGTCGCAGTTGCAATTCAAAAAAATTGAGCTATTTTTGAAAAAAATGCAACACCAAGCTAAAGCTAATAGTCCGACCCATCTCATATAACTTCACCTCATTGTTTGTTTTAGAAGGCTGACATGTTAATGGCAGCACTACAAGTCTGCTGTGGAGGACAAGTAGTTCACAGCTCTACCCCTTACTCTATTCAAATTTCTGCTAGATACATAAAAATGTGAATTAGAGATATTGATGCTGTATGTGCTGTGAAACACAAAAAGATCATCATGAAATACTATGAGAGGACTGAGGTTTTGTCTGTGAGTCACTTATTTGCTGATCCCAGCCTGTCAGGTTTCACACTCTGCTGTAAAAAGCTCTCCATGAAAATCTACCATAGCCTCCATTATCCCCAGTGTTTTAGTATAAGATAATAAAATATGTATTATGCCAGAGCAGTAACAAAATCATGGCCATCTGCTCTTGCTGAGTACAAACATGAGAGTAACCTCTAAGATCTCTAATTAGCTTGCCAACACTTGGCTTGCTTTATTATCATTTTCCAGTACACAAGGGTGACATGATGTAAATATACTTAGATTCTTTGTTAAAATTCTTAGTTTCCTTTTCTTCTTTCTGCATCATAAACAGCATTTTTGCATTATAGATAACCCTAAACTTACTACAGAATACTTTTATCTGGTCACTTTGACAGCAGTTCCACTTCCACAGAATAACTTTTTACCATACATTTATTAAGTCCTTCATTGTTCATGGTAAATCCTATTTTAAATATGCACAAGGCTCTTGAGTGATTTTGACAGGCTTTTGAGTCAATCTACTCATCACAGGTTGAAATAATGACACCAAAGGAAAAATTCTGCCACCTGGAACTCAGCTGAAGGAACAAATCCAAAATTCCTCTAGTAATGTAAAGGCACCAGTAACATACCAGCTTCCCTTCTGCTTCTGACCATCTCATCCTATTCTCAAGTAAATTAATGAATTTGGGAATAAAAAAAAACAATACAAAAGCAGGATATATGGAAAAGAAAGAACCCACAATAAAAAAAACAAAACCTCAAACCAAATAAGCTATATTTCTACTGGGCATTTTATCAAACACACTAGAAAAGCACTAATGAAAGAGCCAGTCTCTGCTATCCAAGTGAACTGAAAACTGTCATACAGTACCCACAGTGCATATAATCATGTATGATGTCACTTTTGGGGAGAAAAAGAGCTCTTCTAATGAAGAGATTAAGCGAAATGAATGCAGGACTTTAAAAAGAAAGGTTAAAACGAAGTACAAGCCTCTTACTAGAGCATAATACCTTTCCAAGCATTATGCGAGTTTTCAGGAAGCAGCAAACAGCAGTGCTGGCGACAGCAGGGCGCTGTGCTGAGCAGCTTACCATGCAGCCAAGTGTTCGTACTGACCTGCCCCAGCATGTCTGGTGCGATGGGAAATGTGGGCCAGATGGCTGAGTAGACACCGAAGAACACCAGCCAGAGCAGCATGCTTCCCCAGACGGCCAGGTGACTGAACTGTCAAAGAGCAGGGAAAGAAGGAGAGTCAACACAGCACACTTCCACCTAACCTACAGATATTTCTCTGTTCAGGTGTCTGTTGGTCTCACTCAGGCCTGTCTGCCGCTCTTGGTTTTCAGCCAGTAGCACAGGGTGTTTAAACAGCATAAACCAGTTCTCCTCTTTAATCTTGCCTCACAACAGGGCAGAGTCTTCTCAGCCAAACTGTCTTAATTGGAGCTCCAGCAACTAATCAGATTTTCCTTAGAACTCCAATTTCTCTCATCTAGTTCCTGCTTCCTGTCATATACATGCCAGGTTCAACACATACAGCAAGGTAGAAATTTTTTAAAGACTCCGGTTAAAGTTCACATGGACAAATCCCTTACGGTAGAGTGTCTGCATAGAAGCCATGTGCACTACTCACCTTTCATGGATAAAGATCCAGTACCATGTAACACCCTACCGCAATCAATGTCTACTGATCAGCTTTGCTTTTTTTATTTTATAGGCTTTTAAAGTAATTTACAAGTATGCAATGCAGTTTACATATTTACTGGTTCTTTAGTCTGTAGACTTATTAAGAGTAAATAAAAGCAGTATTAAAGTGACCATGAACATGTTCAGCACAGATTTCATTTCAGTTGCATTTAAGAAAGCAGTTTTTCCTACACACCCAAACTATTTGCTACTCAGAATGATTTAAGCTGTTCTACTTTTACACTACAGTGTATGGAATCAGTAATTTCAGTTGTAACAAGTAACTGAGCTCATTATTGGCTCCAGCTTTTTTGGATGCCAGCAACTCCTGTGGCTGATGACTTTGGCTCCAATTCAGAGAAGTACCTGCATAAATCTTAATTACTAATTACATATGGGTTTAGGAACATGGGAATGAATTCACACACTGGTTGCTGTGGTGGACACACTGTGTTTGTTTAGTTCTCAGCTTTATACTTTCTATTTGATGATTGCATTTGTTGACTTTTTGAACAGTATGTCTGAGAACTGAAGAAGCGTGAGTATTGTGTTCTGCCCACTGAGAGACAGACACAAACTTCTAGAGGGATTTGAAGATTTCTCCTCATCTGGAAGCACCGAGCATCCTCATAAAGGAGAGCTTTCTCCAGCACAGGCAGTGAAAACAAACCAGCAAGGAGCCTGTAGCACCAGTGCAAACCAGCAGATAGCTGGAAGCAACTGGAAGCTGCTTTACAGTAGAAGCATTCATACGGCAAAATGGCAGAGGTGATGGAAAGAACACCCTTCTAGGGCACTCTTGAAAAGCTGGAAATTTTTTCAACCCTAGAAGTTGCTGAGCTGAGCAGGAGATAGGATAGGCCCTTTTCTGGAGAGACACAGTGGGCATGAAGATTTGTTCTCAAGTTTTGCTGTTTACTCTGTTTCACCCAACAGATCTGACCAGCAACTGCTTTATTTAGAAAACAAACCACATGTTTTTCATCCAGTTTTAATGTGAGTAAAACTAAGAGACTGGAAGGATTTTTAGGTTTTTTTAATGCTTGAGGGAAGCAATTTTATCCCTTCAGTCTACTTGCTTTTCTGAAAACTAAGAACAACTCATCTCATTTGACTAAGATAAAGCCCTGCAACTGTAGTGCTCAGCTCCCCAAAGAACAAGTTCAGGTTGTCATAGCACTTAAGGATATGGTGTAGTTGAGGATGGTCAGTGTTAGGTTAATGGTTGGATTAGATGATCTTCAAGGTCTTTTCCAACCTCGATGATTCTGTGAATTACAGCATGGCTGCTGTAAAAACTCATCTTTAAGAAGAGCCAGCCCCATGTAATGGCAGAACAGCACCAGCACTGCTTTCCCAAAAGGACAAGACACCTCTTGAGCCACAGCCCTCCATCCAAACAAGTGGACCTAAGGTTGCGGATAGCTTGGACTCATGCTTCCAAGCTGCAAACTCCTGCAGACTTTATGATTAAAACCAGTGAAAATAAGAGCAAGCAGGGAAACCAATGTAAGCCATAGTCTTATTTTGTAGAAGGTGTATTTATGCTAGTGAAATGATGTAATTATTTTTGTCTCCCTCCTGTTTTTCTTTCCAGTCTACTGGTACAACAGCTTGAGTTTTGCAGCTCTTCACCTTGCCCTTTCCAGCTCAGAAAAGACTTGGCTCATTTTATGCAGTCTTAATCTTCTTCTCATGGCTGTCTGTCCTGGTTTCAGTGGTGGGAGTTTTTTGGTAGCAGGGGAGGGAGCTACAGCAGTGGTCCCCATAATAAGGTTCTTAAAGCTCTCCTGGCTCCAACTCGGATCCACCTCTGCACCAAGTCCGCGCCAATTACCTGCATTTCTGTGATAAAGCATTTAAGAAGGGGAACCTGGGAGGAGCTGGGCCAGGGCCGACTCCCGTGTGCCCCGTGTGAGGCGGCAGGGCCGCCCTCCTGCCACCCGCGGGGTCACCGGTGGAGCAGATGCGGGTTTGCGGCCCGTGGGGGCCCCGCG